AAGTTGTAATATGTTGTCAAGTAATCATTCATGCCCATTTTGGCTAGAGTTACTGGTGCAAATATTAATATCGGGGCATTTTCCGGAAATGATAACGTATGGCGTATAAAATATCAATGATAACGTACGGCGCATTTTTCTACTTGGTGGATTTCTATTTGTCCAGTCAGCTAATATTAAATTATTTGTATGTAGGAAATGATAGATATTTGAAAAAAAAGTTTGTCAATTCAGAAATAAATTATTGAACAATGCTGCACCATCGGGTATCAATATCTTTCTAGCTGGTGGCATAATAGATATTCGTTGTAAATATACCAAGTAAAACACACGTTTATAGTTTGAGAATATTTTTGTATAAAATGCAGAATGGAAAGAAAAGCCTCTACTTTCAGGAAACATTTGTGTATTGTTGTCTTCACATTAAATTTCGCCAGTGTTGTGCGATAAATATGGTCTTATCCCCTTATCAGAAAGAAGAAATGCATTCACCAGAGCAAAAATGTTGAAATGGTACGGAAGACTTGATATATTTTCTTTTCCAAAATTACTTTAACAAATTACTGATAACAAAATCTTAATATTTGAACCACGTCAAACATAAACAAAACGAAAAGTGATTGCGACTAGCCTACACCCAGAGGAGATCAGCCTGTGTTTATACAATCTGGTCGCTCATTAAAAGAAAACTCATAAATGAGAATAATGAATGAGTATAGGTTCTATATTGAATTAGTTAGAAAATAATGTTTTGCGAAATAGTTCAATAAATTTATTAAATAAGAAATTTCCAGTTTATTTGACGAAACGTTTTCTATTAAGCGTGACGTTGTGCCACTATGACGTCAGATATATTTGCACGACATATCCTTACGGATTTTTATTATAAATGATTTGATCAAAACAATTACATCCAATTCATAAATTTGCCTATCATATTTTGGCTTTTTTTCTCGCAAACGCCAAAACAAAAACAATCAATCTCTTACAAAATAGTATTGCAGGTTTCAGCAATAAAAGAGTGTCATTGAAATTTGCGGTAAACAGTTTACCGACTATGATAAAGTTTCAAATCGGATCTTGATGTCGATGTTTTATCCATGTCCGAGAACCCGTCTGAAATCATTAAAGCTAGACCGCCCATGAATGCGCTCAGATGACGTCATTATCTTTATGAAAGAACAGCTGTACAAGTTACTACGCTACTATGATAATCACGGTGTATATCCATATCGGTACCCTCTTTGCGAAATCTGCTCAAACGGTACCCTCTCTGAACATGCACAGGTCACGGCAAAATTGTAAAATGTTGCAGCCTTCGTTTGATTGAGCCTGTTCATGGACGGAACTGGAAAGTGCAAGTTACCGTCCACGACCCTAGCACCGGCTTAAGCAGAATTCAACATTTTAACACAAACATGCAGATGTGTTCATACGGCGGTTATCATGGAACAGTAGTGTCATTCCATGAAAAGCGACGTATGGTCCCTAAGTAAAAGAATGATTGTGCCCTAAACGAGAAAACAATGGGCGGAACTAAATAAAATGGAATTTTGAAAGGGGATCTGAGGGTATGAAGCTTGCATATGATAGACAAGACGTCAAAAGACAATTTCAAAAGCAGGCAACATATCCAAAGGGTGATAATACAGTATTCAAGTAGGAATACTGGAACCACCAAGTTAAAAAAGGCCAAATACAAGAAACTAAAAAGACCATCTAAAATGTATACACAACAGTAATGTCGTGCTGAATGATCTTCAAGGATCGAAAATATAGCATCATTGATTAAATGTACGGGGAGACCTTTTACAGCCGCCACACGGCACAAATAGCACGGATGTGACAATTAAATAGAACACAAGAAATTCCTTAAGAAAGCCTAACACGACAAAATTGTAAAATGTTGCAGGCTCGGTTTGATTGAGCCTGTTCATGGACGGTACTGGAAAGTGCAAGTTACCGCCACGACCCATCGCACCGACTTAAGCAGAATTTAACAGTTTGACACAAAATTGGTGATATTTTGAATTAAGAAAAATCCGCAGATGTTTTCATACGGCGGTTATCATGGAACCTTCAAAGTGAAATAGTAGTGTCATTCCATGTAAAGCGGCGTATGGTCCCCAAGTAAAAGAATGCGTGGGCAGAGAAAAACGAGAAAACAATGGGCAGAACTAAATATACTAAGAAAACGAAAAGGGTATATCCGTCAAAATATTTATTTATTCTTTATAAGTACGGGGATATTTTATTCACTTGTTTGTTTTTCTATTTACGTTAAAATTGAAGTGATTATACTGATGCAATTAATATCTCAGACATGGATTAAAACTTTGGATGAGGATTTTTAAATGGATTAAGTCTTTTAAGACTTATTTCCCACCATGTCCCGTTTTTGTGCCTTCACCATCTCTTTCTTACACCATTTGTCCCTTTCTGCGCGTTTTTGTTCTTATTTCTTTTACTTATTACATATCCCTCCCATGCTAACACCTCCCTTGTGTCCTCTCCCAATTTTAGATCGGTGCCTTGCTGGCGTGACTGGACTGTGTCGGGGACTGCTCTGCGTTACAGTGATGCAATGAATATCTCGGAAATGGATTAAAATTTTGATTCTTCAAGTTATCATGAACTTTGCCCAAATATCTAATTATTATATGTATGTGCTATTTACAATTCATCTCATCATTGAAAGAAAATAAAGATGAGCATGAAAAATATAAAATCCCTTCTAAAACAAAAAGATTTAGTTATTGGTATAATATATTACATTTGTTTCCGAAAAATTTGTTTCATTTAATCAATTTAGTAATGTTAGCAAAGTTATGTTAACGTCAATCAGTTATTCATTAAATTTTGATCTCCTGCCAAACTTAGAAAAAGTTATCATGTTATGTAGTCATTATTTTAATTCTGCTGTACAACATGAAACAAAATTTGCAAATTGTATTAATTTTGTCTTGATTTGTAATATCTAACAATCGTAGCTTGTAATATTTAACAGTCGCCAATGTTCTTATCAAATCGTAATGATGCTTTTAAGACAAGCAAATAATTTCTCCTGTTTTATATTAGTACGGTTCATGATATTTAAACAGATATCAAATATTTTTTCCTGAAATATGTTCAACATTACCTTTTATCTGAGAACCTTAACTTTAAAGTCGATATGAACAGAAAACGACAAACGGGTGTTATTTTCTATATTATGTATCGGCAACATATTAATTATTGACTCCAGACAGTGTTTTCTGTTAAATATCGTAAGTGTAAGGCTTTATGGTTTTAAGGTAGATACAGATAACTTTAATGGAAAACCCATGTCCTCCGGAGCAGGGCAAATTCTGACCAGAGGACTAAATATTAACAAACTTTTTAGAAATGAACTAGACAATGTTACACACGTGTTTTCAAAGCTCAAGACTCTTGCGGTTTCAGAGCAAAGGATTTGTTTTTCATTCGGTTGCCATTACAACCAGAGTTTTTTGGGTGATGGGAATTAATAATTTTGTTTCTTTTGAAGCAAATTATACTTCAACAACAATTGACCTACGGTACTTTTTTTGAATATGGAAACAAAAAGCAATGGATCATCAATTTTACATTTCATACTTTACTGCATGGTGAAGTAAAGTCAGGAATAACTGAATAGCAAACTGTAGTTATATGTACGTAGAGTATGTAACATGAATCGTTGATATATTGCTCTGGGAATTGATGCAACATTTAACACTATTAGAGCTTCATTTGCAAAGCTTTTGTATCCGTCTGAGATGTAATAAAACGCGAGTCATTAACTGAAGTGCAGAACGGAGAAATGTATTGAAACATAAGAAATGTTTTTCATATACGAGTATGTCTACATAGTTCTGGTTTTCATAGTGATCGAACTTAAATGTAATTTATTTAATCCTATCTTTGTAATCCGGTTCATTAAAGATTGTCAGTAATATCGACACTTTGCTTTATCATAAAGTAGTTTTCTAGCATAGATACATAAAAGTACAGTTTTATGTTGATAAACATTTTACACATAAAATAATTACATTTTAAAAATGCGTTTTTAAAATTTAAAACGTTTTTTTATGTAAAGGGGGGCCCTTTTTTCGTTTTCCCTTTTTTTTTCTTTGATTTAAAAATTTGACGGGGCATTTTTTTTTAAAGCAAAAGTTTTATATCACAACAATGCCTTTGAAGCAAAAAAGATATCATTAATTCATATGTAAAAAAACAATCTAAATGAAAAATGTTCCCCTTTTACAGATATGAAATAAATAAACATCATATTTAAACATATTTCTGATTATTTGGCTCGTTGACAAGCTACATAGTCGAAGTTAGTTTATTGAACATTATTTGCGCTGGTACTTTAATAGCTTAAGGTCTTCAGCGTACCCGCTTATATACTATGACATGACGTGAACGCTGAGGGAAAGTCCACCAGTAATCGTGCCAGGAATCTGACACGCTCGTATTCATTCTTCGAACATGCCATGAAGTAAAGTGAAGCATATATTGATAAAACTATATATAATCTGTTGATAAGCCAAGGATGGATTGACCTTGACGAATCCATGTGCTTCCAACTTTTTTATAAAATAATAACTTTTTCAAGTTATTAAAAAGGTGATTTACCGACTTTTATATCCAATTTAATCATATTTAAGTACTAAAAAATAAATATAATAAATAAAAATTTTGAATTATAAATATTGAAATCATGTCAACAAAGATGTTCTAAATATAGTACACGACAGAGATGAAAGCTTACATCGGTATCAACATTCTTATGGGCATCAATGAACTCCCAGAAGCTGACATGTACTGGTCAGCTGATCCGTTTATAGGAAATAGTGGGGTGTGAGGGGGCGTGAGGGATGTTGCACTTATTCATTATCCCTCATGTACAGACTCAATCAAACCGAGTCTGCAATTCTTATGTTATTTTGTTGTGATTAATGCTTCCGAGGGATCACTTTGTTTCCAGAATTTTCAACAAGCCATGACGTGTAACCGGTTTCAGAAGATCACCCAGTATTTCCATGCTTCTGATCGGGCAGCCGAGCCAAGGCGTGGTCACCAAGGTTATGACAAGCTGTACAAAGTCCGGGAAGTCATCACTGCGGTGTCTGAAGCCTTTCGTCGAGGATATACATTATCACGTGAGGTTGCAGTGGATGAAGCGATAATAAAGTTTACAGGACGTTTAGCTTTTCGCCAATATATGCCTGCCAAGCCAATCAAGAGGGGAATGAAGATCTGGATGTTGTGTGATTCCAACTCGGGTTTCCTCTCCAGATTTGAAGTTTACCTTGGTCGCCAAGACAACCGTACAGAGCATGGCCTTGGTTAATAGTGCTGAACCTGACTGACCACATCCGAAACATGTTTCGCTGGGTCTTTTTTTGACAATTTTTTTACAAGTATGCCACTACTCCAGCGCCTACTCGACTTCGGACTGTATGCATGTGGGACTGTCAGGGTTAACAGAGTTGGTTTTCCTAAGGACTTGAAGAAACCTCGAGAACTAACTAACCGTGGGGACTTCAAGATTCTTCAACATGGTGACACCAACTTGACAGCTACTGTGTGGAAAGACATGAGGCTTATTCACCACATGTCTACCCTCAGCGATCCGTGTGACACAAGGGATGCCCAGCGACGGTTTGGTAGGGAAGTCTTACAACTTCGTCAGCCCCACACAGTGTTTGCGTACAATAAGTTTATGGGTGGAGTGGACTTACATGACCAATTCAGAGCAAAGTATAGTGTAGGCAGTTGTTCCAAAAAGTGGTGGAAGTATCTCTTTTGGTTTTGCCTCAACTGTGCTATAGTGAACGCTCATATTGTTTACAAGGCCGTGTTAACCAGACCAACAAAGAGGAAGCGCTTCACCCAGTTAGAGTTTAGACAGGAACTTCTTCGTTCACTTATTGGCGGGTTCTCAAAAAGGAAACGTACTACTGGGGGTGTCGTCTTCAAACCACTGGTTGACACTGAGAACATTTCTGGTCATGTGAATGTTAGGATGCCTGGGGCCAGAACAACATGAAAATATCACAGAAAGCAACTCAATGTAAGGAGGGATACACAATATGGATGTTCTATATGTAATGTTCACTTGTGTAAAGAGTGTCACGTACATTACCACAACCTGGCAGCAGCATAGTGTGACTAAAAATATGGAATTAATTTAAAATGAACTAAAAGTGTTTTCAAAAAATGCGCAAAAAAAAAATAATAGTGATACTATCTTTTGGAATATTTTGTGTAAAAAAAAGATGTAAAATAGATCTATTTGAACTTCTTGGACAATGATATAAACTTTTTGGACAATTTCGAACTGTGAAAACCGTGGTAGCCTAAGTTTAATGCACCTGACGAGTCCTTTGGCAGGGACGAAACGGTTTTTTTTTAGAAAAATATATAATATATATACATGGATTACTAAATAAATAAGCATTAAAAATATTACATTCATACTAAAAGATAGTAAAACTATTGTGTTTTTGCCTTTTTATTTTCAAAGCCCCTGACTTTATAGATCTTTAACCTTAAAACATTATATGCCAGCCCTTTCCTTAAATTACATTTAAAAAGTCCTTTTACACCAAACATGTATTTTTTTAAATAGAATTTCATTATGTTAAAGTGCAAAAAATAATTTAATTATCTGAAATGTAGCTAAATCATTGTAAATAAGTAAACTGTTTGGTTTAAAGCCTCATATCTCTATAAATATTTTTCACATTTTCATGAAAAATACACCATAAGAAAGATAATTCAATTTAGAAAAAAACTTTATATTGGTCAATAATTGTTTACTACAAGATTTAATTAAGTAATACTGAGTTAAATAACACTGGTGTAGATGTTTGTTTTTTTCCCCAATATCCCCTGTATGGAGATAGTGTACAGTACACTGATAAGAGTGTATTGGTTATCAGTAATCAATAGTGATAAGGTAGTATGGACATGATAAGGGCAATTAAGTTAAATGTGTATGGGGTAAAGGGTTAATGAAATGGCCGACTGTAGTCGGCGTAATTGATATTTTACATTTAAATAGGCAATTTTAATGACGGTATTAATATTTTGATAAAACGATATTAAAATAATTGTTTTATCGCAAAATGCACAAGAACTGATTGGGACAAGGGTATTTGCAAGTGAAAAATAAGGTTAAATCAACTTATGTTATTCTGGTTAGGTTTCGTAACGGGTCTATCCAAAACCATTTTGGAAGCCAGAACTAGTAATTTTGTATTAGTATTTTTAGACATTCTTTTTAAGGCAAAATAATTCAATATGAATAATGTTTGAACAGTTGATTGAACTTTTGAAAATTTGACAATACATCGTTATGATGCATTTCATTGACAGCACTTTCAACCAATAACAAACTTTCCGAAGAATTTAAACTCAATCAAAATGTAACGACATCTTTATTAAGATCATATTGACAATTGATTTATTTGACTTTTCTGATTTTGACAACATCTGTTTAGTATCTAAAGCTTTTTCTCACTTTCAAAAGAAACGTAACACAAACCTTATACAAATACATATATTTCGATATACTCTATTTTTTAAGTAAAAATAACTATATAATATCCTAATTAAAGAAAGGAAAATGTTAAAAATAGCCTACATTGCCACATATGGGAATGTATTCTGCTGATAATACAAGTCATGGTGTGTTCTACTTAAAGCCACTTTAAGTTATGTGTTGACGTGCCGTAAAAATCTAAACAAACAAACAAATAAATCCATTTTAATGATTTAATGATAAATCCAGCATTTCTTGGGAGAAATAAATATAATTCCATATGTACCAAGACGCTTATAAAGTGAATTGATTAGAAATATATATTTTTCTTATCTTTATATCTTTAATTTTAATGGTTTGTTCCATATTAAAAGGATTCAACATAACACCATTGTTTCATTTTCTAGTATTGCTACAGCTGCTAATATATTCTGCTGTGAAACAGATTTATACTTCTTTTAACGTCATCAAATTGGTTCAGCCATAAATTTGGCTTTGTTAGGGTAATATAAAAAAGGTTTAAAAAGATTTTCTGTGGTACCATATGTGCTTAAATGTTAAAAATATTAGTTAGAGATGTGAAATAAATTGTTTTAATGCGTTCTGTCTTCAACAAACCCAATACAACTTTACCAATTGCGACATAAAATGATAACGTAGTTTTTCGACAAAATATAAATTGTTATAAGAAAAAATCTTCTTAACTTCTCGCCGTAACATTGCTTTCTTACTTATCGTTGCACGAACATCTTTCAGCTCGAAAAATAAAAATAACTCACAATTTGACACGTTTATTTGGACTGTCATTTTAAATTCTTTGAAGAAGAATTCATGCTTGATAACGTTTCACGCGCTCCGCACATGATTATTATATGTAACTGTGTTAAAAATATATACTGTTATTTTAACAAAGATAACTTATTTACGGAACTAACTTATCAATGGCAACACTTTGAATATTTCGAAAAACGAAATCGAATGGCAGAAAACTGAACAGCCAATTATACTGTTAAGTACCAACTTTAAACTATATACTGTTATGTACCAACTTTAATCTTTTCAACTTTGGACACGAAATTTTATATGAATTTTGGTTGAATACAAAAATACGGACTTTGTTCTTATGTTTATTTTAACGGTTATGCTGATGCGCTAAGCTTCTTACAGTTTCTAAGATTTAAATCTGCCGACGTTCTTTGAGATAAATATTATTGTCTATGGTATTTGTCTTCTTTCATTTACACGTATGGCTTCTCAGTACCAAAACTAGAATAAAAACGAGAACTATGCCTCAATGTTTTAATGTTTAATTCGTTCTGTTGAGAATTGAAGAAAAAACTTTTTAATGATTATCTGGCTTGAAATCAAGACATTGTTTATCACCTTAAACATTGCAATAATTGATGACGAAGCATTTGTATAAGGTCAATAAATGAACATTTTGTATGTAGTATTTTTAAGTTTTTAATCTAGTATGACGTTTTCTTGAACGCATGTAATTCGTGCTGTTAGCTGTACATATTCATACACACCATCGTAAGCATAATTTGTTCTTAGTGAAAAATTAATTGCCAAAATGATGATGCTAAGTAAGGCATTATCTTTTAAACTTATCTATTTATCTTAAAAGAAATTCTGAAATGCATTCGTTTTTTTTAATATTTTATTTAAACTTTCAATTTTTGTTTGCATTTACTGCCTTAAAAAACTTTATAGCTATATTTCTAGCGATCAATCATTTGAAAAACATGTTTCCTCCTTGTACTATAGTATACAATATGGTAGAAAATAATTATTGAAAAAATAAAATAAAAACATCTTACAATAAGACATTGATCTCGATACAAACTTAAATGAGTATCATTATGAGAGCTTACGGGGTACTACTTTTGATCTTAACGGTTCTCTGAAGTTGAGATTTTGATATTTTAAGTGTTAAAATTTGTCTGATCAAATGGTTCTGTAATAATAACGAGTTCTATGATTTGTACTTGCACGGAAGTGTATCGTATGCGGTAAAATTTGTTTGTATGTGAACCAAATCGATTCTAAAGTAATAAGTCTGTCTTATGGGACGCTTTGATGTTTACATTGTGTCTTTATTAATAACCGTCGGTTTATTATCACTTTAAATGTGACTGAACCGTTTTATTGTGACAATGAGACTATCTGATCTTCTTTATCACATGTGTTAGAGCTATTTTCATCCTTAAACAATTGTTTTCTTTCTTTATGAACATTATCATTAAGCACTTCATTTGTCTATTTTGAGGATCGGGCTGTATATCCAATACTTGACGCAAAGTGGCTTGGGGTTCAACGTAATTTGATTTTTTTATAAAACATAAAATATCAAGCAATGTGAGGAAAGATTCCTGAACAAGGAACAAAAGGCTTGCCACAGACTATGTTTGAACCTACGTGGCCAGCTATCCTTAAATTAATTTTATTATCATCATGCACCTTTACGAGATATTTCGAAGTTCATGTACAAACAGCATTACAAGTATCAAAATCAAATTAAAAACACAATGTTATTTGTTATCAATTATTTAGGAAATTACAGTAAATTTCTAGATCAATAAAGATATATAAAATAGGGTAAAATTACTTTTAAATTTACCTAGAAAACGACTGATGTTGCAAGGTTGAAATAGTTTCATCAAGGAGTTTTGGTTTTTGTTTGACTGTTTATTATATCTTTTTTGTATACTATTGTTTATTATATCTTTTTTTTTGTATACTATTTTTGTGTATATATCAAAGCCTGTAATTTGCTCTTCTTATAAAAGTCCAACATGGCCACAGCTGCGAATATACTCTACTGAGAGTAAAAGATACAGTCTTGTACCGTTTTAAGCACCACTTTACTGGTTCAATAATAAATCTTGCTTTCTTTTGGGAAATATAAAAAAGAATAAATACCAAAACATATGTCCTGTCCAATGTTATATAAAATTAGGAATGTTTTGTGTATGGGTTTCCTTCATTGACTTAATTATCTTTCTTGCGCAAAATGGCAATATAATTGCAACAATGTTACAAATATGGCAAAATAGAATGATTCATACGAAATTGAAAAACTTAGCCTGATAACACTTGCTCAAATATTAAGCAATCGGCCAATCCAATGGATAAAAGTATATTAATGCCATTATCAGCTGTTGAACAATATTCTCTTAAGCTGCAATATTTTACGAGTGTCAATAAACTGATGCTTGTTTTTAAATTTAAACAAAACGCCAAAAAAGCGTTGGCCGTTTGAAACTAATATGCCAATAAATAACATTCTATATCTTTATTTTATATTTTGTTGTACGTTGTACTGATAATATGAGAAACAAGTTAATGCTCCCAAAGTACCACTTCAATGATGAATATTGACTTGTTTAGAATGTATTGAACTAATAAATATGTTGCCATATGTGCTGTTCTTTTTAATATCCAGGTATAAGACATGTTAATTGCAATTATGTATTGTTTTTCATTATTTTCATTATGTACTAGTTTTTTGCCAAAAGCGCCATGTAATGATTTTTTTGTTATCTCGTATTTAATTAATTTAGTTTGATAATCACAAATAGTAACTGTTAAAACAACTTGTATATATAATTGGAGAAACTACTTCACTTTTGAGTG